GTCATGTTATGACAATGTCATATCAGTCTTATTCACCCCCCTTCAAATAAAGGGGTTAAGGAATGTAAATGAACAGCCATTAACACCCACAGCCCATCAGGTGGGGACAGAACAACTCTTCTAAATCTTTGAGGCCTGTTTTGTCCACTAACCTTGTTTGCAGAGTGCCAAAAGTTTAAAACGGTCATTTCTTTCTAGTTATTTATTTATTATTATTATTTCTATGTGTTTGACATTATTAGAAAGCTTAGAACCAGTGGTGGGAAGTAACGAAGTACAAGTACTTCGTTACTGTACTTAAGTACAATTTTCGTGTATCTGTACTTAAGTAGATTTAATAATGGATACTTTCTACTTTTACTCCACTACATTTTACAGTAAATATTTGTAATTTCTACTTCACTACATTTCTACAGAACCGTCGCGTTACTCGTTACATCCACGTCGCATTGAGCTTTTTGTCCGTTAAAATGTGACGTTCAGGGACTTAAGGTGGCGCCGTAAAATCCAAGCAATGACTTACTGTCTGTTGTCACCCATCGCCTCCACCTTTACTCGCACGTGGAGCTCCAGACATGCGCAGTGGTGGCTATCCGTCTAATCGTCAGTAATATAATAGCGCTGCATAAACCATAAGATATGGCGACATGTAAAACCAGCAGCGCTTCGCTTTCACAGACGGTGGGGACTTCGTGCAACTTTAAGCCTTGCACGAAGGAAAGCTTAAAAGGTAAGATCTGTGGACGTGATGCTAGCAAAGCTAGCTGTACTGACAGACACATGCTGCATCTGCGATGAAAAAAAAGTTGTCACTCATGCCATTGTGTGTTGACTGAGGTGTCGCATATGGGACAACGCTGTGACCAAAGTGGAATATAGAAATATGACGTTCAGGAACGATCCGATTCTTCTGGACGGATCTTTACTAAGTCCTAAGGACTGAAGCCTCGCTGGGAGCCCTTCTTTGTTCTTGTGTACACTGCAGTAGCTAACACATACATACACACGTTTATTTAATCGCCGAATAAGTAAAAGTTGAATGAACACAGAGCATGCTCATTGATTGATTTCGTCTCCTGTCATGGTGGCAAACATCGCAGTGGGAGGGAGGGTGAGAACAGTCATGGTGCTCCTTCTGCTTGGTTTCTTGTTGCGCCGTTGGACAGTGTTCATAGTTGAACATTATTTACCGTTAATTGCGATGTTTCAGTTGTGGTTTCTGACATGGGCAATATGGGCAACCGTCCAGGGTGTTATTTTTCTAGGGATAGCAGGAGACCTCTGCGGATTGTAGCACAGCCATGAAAGCAAAACAGAATGAAATGAGTTTTAATTGATACTGGTTAAATAAATTTCAGCTCTAAGTATTTAACATCTAGGTGTTTTTATGGGAATGTGGATCTTTCAGATCAATCTGAGAACCAATTTTGATAAACTTAATTTTATTGTGTCTGTCATGTTGAGGTTAATTTGACGAACCCACATGCGCAGAACGCACTCAGGAGAACCGGTAAGGATTAA